TTCCATCCTTTCTAAGGTAGGTGAAATGAGGACCCAGTTTGTGGGGGCAATAAGCTGACTTTGTATAAATATACAAAAGGATGAAGACTATTGCTTAACGCACTGTAAGCCACCCTGAGTCTCCGGAGAAGGGCGGCATATAAATCATATTAAAAAAATAAAATAAAATAGGAAAAGCAGATTCGCTTAATAAAGCTTTTTCTTGTTTGTTTAAAATGCTTTTTAAATTTTTAATGGTAATATATTTTATGAACGGTAAGCTGCCCAGAGTCATTGACAAGAGATGGGCGGCCACAGAAATCGAATAAATAAATAAATGTGACTATAATATTGCCCTATCTTACAAGGTTGATGCAAATATTACAACATTTACAGCATGTTTTGAAGGTCAAAACATGCTGTAAATGCAAAGTAAACTCTGTCACGCTGAGCAGCAGTAAAGTTTGCTACACATATGTAACATTACTAACATTCCTGTGCAACCTACTTTTCCTGACACCTATTCATGTTTATTTGTTCAGTTGGAATGAAGACATCATGACAGGGATGAAGTGGGGGCATCAAGTTGCAGAGATAAATAAAAACAGATCATCAAGAGCCCACTGCCTTGTGCAGAAAATGAATGTGACTGTTTAAGAGAACAACATGGTACACACTAATTGTTATTGTTCCTGTGCACAGCATGGCACGCACTAATTGTCCCCGTGTAAATGTGACCAGACCACACGATGCCAGCATATTCTACAGGCGATGTGCAGATGGCCTTACTGCTCACGCCATCTTCCAGCTGAGGACGCAACCTATTACCAGGGCTATAAAAAGGATGCTTAGCTTTCGTCTTGGGTGTTTGTTCGAATGATTTGCAAAGCAAAATAGCCCTTGCAAAATAGCAAGGGAAAAAAAATTCTGAAAGATTGCTTTAAGCAATAATGACGAGGAAATTTCTACCACTGGGCTTTGCCTGTTTGGTCAGGGAACATTTAATTAGTCAATAAAATTTACTGGGTCTGTTACGCAGTACTCTCAGTTTTCTTAGGAAGGGGGGTTTTTTTGGATCACAAGGATAAATCTTTACAGATGGTCCTTGATTTATGAGCACAATTGGGACCAGAATTTTGTTGTAAGTTGTTGTAGTTGTAAATCAAGTTGGACACTGCTTATGGCAGTCATTAAATGAATCACTTGGTCACTGAGCAAATTGCGCAGTTGTTATACAAATCCAACTTCCCCAATGCCTTTTGCCAGAAATCAGCAAAAAAGATCACAATTCGTGATCACATGATCTCAAGATTCTACAACCTGTCATAAAACACGAATTGGCTGCCAAGCATCAGAATTGTGACCATGAGACCTCAGTGGTGGTGTAACAATTGTAAATGTGAGTACAAGGCCATAAGACACTGTAACTTCCCTTGTTAAATGAGCAGTCGTAAATCAAGAACTGCCTGTAAAGCATTCACTTACAGGCTCTTTTGTCCTGATGTTCACTGATGTGCACTGAACCAGAATAACAGCGGGAAGGGATCCTGAAAGTCTTCTAGTCCTACCACCTGCTGAAGCAGAAAACCCTACACAGGTAGTCCTCAACGTACAATCACAACTGAGCCCAAAATTTCTGTTGCTAAGTGAGACATTGTGAGTTTTGCTCCTTTTTGTGACCTTTCTTGATACAGCTCTTAAGTGAATCACTGCAGTTATTAAATTAGTAACAAGTTAAGTGAATCTGGTTTCCTTCATTGACTTAGCTTGTTAGAAGGTAGAAGGCCTGGGGACAATGCAGCTGTCATAAGTATGAGTCAGTTGCCAAGTGTCTCAATTTTGATCAAGTGACCATGGGGATGCTGCAAACGATTGCAAGTGTGTAAAATGGTCATAAGTTACTTTTTCAGTGCCGTTGTAATGTCAAACGGTCACTAAACGAACTGTTTTAAGTTGAGGACTACTGGTACCATTTCAGACAAATGATTGTCCAATCTCTTCTTAAAAACCTCAAGTGTTTGGGCACCCACAACTTCTGGAGGCAAGTTGTTCCACTGATTACTAGCTCCAGAATATCAGAATCATTAGAACCAGAATACTAGCTTGGGCATACTGTTAACTTTTGCACTGTTTGTTTGTTTATTATTTATTTATTTATTGGTTCGATTTATATGCCGCCCTTCTCTGGAGACTCAGGGCGGCTTACAATGCGTTAAGCAATAGCCTTCATACTTTTGTATATACCTGCTTAGTAGGGTTTTTGGCCCCCCCAAGCGGTGTTCTTTTTTATACAAAGTCAGCTTATTGCCCCCACAATCCGGGTCCTCATTTTACCTCCCTCGGAAGGATGGAAGGCTGAGTCAACCTTTGAGCCTGGTGAGATCTGAACTCGCAGTAATTGCAGGCAGCTGGCAGCTAAGGGCTAGAACCAAGGCTCTTTTCTCTTTGTTGAATGACAGTTAACACACGTGAATAATAATAATAATATCAATATTATTTGCTTCCTTATTTACAAACAGAACAATGATCTTGGAACTTCCCTTAAACCAAGAGCCACTCTTTTTCTGCAGCAGCCCCTGCTCTATGGAACATCCTCCCTTCGGAGATTGGGATTATCCCGACCCTGATCGCCTTTCGTAAACATGGCTATGCTCCCGAGCCTGGGAAGCCACATGCACCAAGGACCCCTCCCACTGGCTATAGTCTTAACGGGCCAGATGTCTTACTCCTGTGTGTACTTGGAATTAGATACTTTAATGTTTTCTTACTGATCTTAATGGTTTTTTTTTACTGTTTTATTGGTTTAAATGTTTGAATTTTTAATAGTAATATAGCGGTACCGGTAAAGGTAAAGGTTCCCTTCGCACATATGTGCAAGTCGTTCCTGACTCTAGGGGGCGGTGCTCATCTCCGTTTCAAAGCCAAAGAGCCAGTGCTGTCCGAAGACGTCTCCGTGGTCATGTGTCCGGCATGACTCAACGCCAAAGGCGCACGGAACGCTGTTACCTTCCTGCCAAAGGTGGTCCCTATTTTACTACCTGCATTTTTTACATGCTTTAAAACTGCTAGGTTGGCAGAAGCTGGGACAAGTAACGGGAGCTCACCCCGTTACGCGGCACTCGGGATTCGAATCGCTGAACTGTTGACCGTTTGATTGACAAGCTCAGCGTCTTAGCCACTGAGCCACCACGTCCCTTGTGGTATCAGTACTTATCCTTAATTGGTTCCAGGAGGTGCAATGTGTACTAAAAAGGACAAGTACCAAACAAACCATGTGACTTCCCATGTGACCCTCTGTTTCCGCCAGGAAGGGCTTCCTATATATCCCTTTTCTTATGTCAGCGACCTTCCCCGCATGGCCGATTTCCTATCCGCCCTCTGCGGCTGTTCCCCACATCAAGTGCCAAACCAATGAGGAGTACCGGGACAACATTTTCACGTCAAAATGCGTCGAGTACCAAATTCGACGAGTTTTGTAACAGTCGAGTACTGAGGTCCCACTGTATATGTTTTGAATTGTAAGCTGCCTGGAGTTATTTACTGAGGTGAGCGGCTATAGGAATCAAAGTAATAAATAAATTCGAAGATACTGGTTGCTCTTACCCCACTGCCTTCCTTGATCCAGTAGCTCAGCCACCAGTTGCTGAAGGCCGTACTGCCCACATTCAATATGAAGAGCGTCATGATGGTCAGGAAAGCGACGGGGCCTCCAGCTGCTTGGATGTAGACCCAATAAACCGACCAGGGGACAGAGCCTTTGCCTTTCTCTTCCATCTGCATCAGCTGAACTAAAGCACAGGGATGGGCAGAGGAGGAGGTTAAGCAGAGAGAATTCAACAAATCCAATCTGTACTAAATACAGGTATTCCTCGACTTACGACCAAAATTTCCACTGCTAAGCAAGCCAGTTGCTAAAAGAGCTTTGTTCCCATTTTACAACCCTTTTTGCCCCCGTCACTGCAGTTGTTAGGTGAATCATGTGGTCACTAAATAAATCTGGCTTCTCCCATTGACTCTGCATGTCGGAAGCCAGCTGGGAAGGTCCCAAATGATGATCATATGACTTTGGGACAGTGACACCATCATAAATACAATGCCAGGTGCCCAAATTTTGATCATATGGCCACGGGGATGCTCCAACAGTTGCAAGTGTGAAAACCCATCATAAGTCACTTTTTTCAATGCTGTTGTAACTTGGAATAATCATTAAATGAATGATTGTAAGTCAAGGACTACCTGTACACAGCTAAATAATGACAGGTAGTCCTTGACTGACGACCACAATTGAGCCCAAAAATTTTATTGCTAAGCGAGACATTCGTTAAGTGAGTTTTGCCCCATTTTATGACCTTTCTTGCCACAGTTGTTAAGTGAATCACTGCAGTTGTTCAATTAATAACATGGTTGTTAAGTGAATCTGGATTCCCCATTGACTTTGCTTGTTAGAAGGTTGCAAAAGGGTATGACCCCGGGACACTGCAGCCGTCATAAATATGAGCCAAGCATCTGCATTTTGATCACATGACTATGGGGATGCTGCAGTGGTTCATAAGTGTGAAAAACGGTCATAAGTCACTTTTTTCAGTGCCGTTATAACTTTGAATGATCACTAATTGAACCGTTGTAAATTGAGGACTACCTGTATTATGCAAAGTTCCCTGAGAACATTTTAGGTACCTAGGCAGCATTCAAATGTAGCCAACCAAAATCTGTAAATAGGCTAGAATTAAACTCTGGTTAAATTTTCCTACACGTGACTTAAATTATCCTAAACTCTTGCCTAGATTACTTTGCTCAACTTGAAGACAAAAATGCACGCCATTTCAAAATTAGCACTGGTCTTTGTGGCTAAAGGAAAGGCAAGAACTAATGTGAGCTTAGACCCACGAAGATCATCTGGAACCTAAGGCATTGTTAACAGAATACCTGCATGCACACAAGTTGGGTAGGAGTTAAATTTGTATTTTTTTTGGATGACAAGCTGTACCTTCTTCCTTCTTAACTACTTTCTCTTTCTTCACAGATCCCGTCTTGGTGCCTTTCTCTGGGAGTCTTTTCAATGAACTGTTTGCAGTCTTCTTTAGGTTAACCTGCAAAAAGAGTCAGGAGGTAAATCAGATTCAGCCTACCTCACCTTTGCAAGGAAAATATCATAAGCACGTTCGCCCAGGAAAGGGAAAAAAAAAGGCCTGGTTAAAGTCTCCATAAAGGGATATCCCATATGCTAGATGTTTATTCTTCAGGTTCTGACCAGTTCTGGAGAACCAGTAGCGGAAATTTTGAGTAGTTCGGAGAACTGGTAAATACCACCTCTGACTAGCCCTGCCCCCATCTATTCTCTGCCTCCTGAGTCCCAGCTGATCGGGAGGAAATGGGGATTTTGCAGTAACCTTCCCCTGCCACACCCACCAAGCCATGCCAGGCCCACAGAACCAGTAATAAAAATTTTTGAATCCCACCACTGGGACCTGTATGCTAGGATTGGACAACCATTTCTCTGAAATGATATAATGGGTCTCTCGCTTGAGCAGGGGGTTGGACTAGAACAGGGGTGGGCAATTGTGGCTCTTTTACAACCTGTGGACTTCAACTCCCTGTGGAATTCTGGGAGTTGAAGTCCACAGGTTGGAAAAGGGTCACAATTGCCCACCCCTGGACTAGAAGACTTCCAAGGTCCATTCCAACTCTATTATTCTGTTATTCTAACCACCATTTTAAAGACTGACGTCAATAGAAACTTCCCTCTTTCTGCCAGCCACCAAGTAGAAACATGAATCATGTTATATTTTGTTTTTGTTTGTTTTTTTTGTTTGTTTGTTTTTTTAAATTTGATTTATATGCCGCCCTTCTCTGGAGACTCAGGGCAGCTTACAATGCGTTAAGCAATAGCCTTCATCCTTTTGTATATTTTTATACATCTTATTGCCCCCACAAACTGGTTCCTCATTTAACCTACCTTAGAAAGGATGGAAGGCTGAGTCAACCTTGAGCCTGGTAAGATTCGAACCTGCAGTAATTGCAGGCAGCTGTGTTAATAACAGGGTGCTTTAAACCACTGTACTACCAAGGCTCTTAAGTAGTTGTTTATTGTAAATTTGTACTGCGAGGTGCACGACAGCAGGAACTAAGTAAAGGAGTAAAACAAAGAAGTCAATATCATTACCCAAACTAGGTAACATCAGTCTGATGATGTTATCTAGGTTGGGTAATGAAACATCTGAAAACATCTGCAAGAAAACAACCAAGCTCCAAATGTCAACCCTGAGCTACAAATATTCTCCTTTATTGAGATTAATATCAGGAATCTGGCTGGTGATTCACAGAAGTCAGAGGTTTACCCAGCCTCCATCTTGGCAGATTGTCCAAGTATGTGGAAACCTGCGTGGTTCAGAAGACATATTACAAGCTGACACAATAATTTTGCTATTACATGAATGGCTTGTAACAAATAATAAGTTATTTGGTCTTTAGGATAATTTACATACGACTTTATTTTTCCTTAGGGCAAGAACCGTAGCACCGAAATAAATACCTCAATGTGTGGCGTTTCTCCCAGCTGCAAGCTATTGAAGATGGCTGCATAGTCGCCGTTCAGATTCATCAAGTCTTCATGGCTACCCCTCTCAGTGATGCAACCTTCCTTCATGAAAATCACCTCATCGCAATCCACAAGATACTAATAAAAAAGAAGAGGAACACTCATGGTGAGGTGGAGAGATCATTCGACCAAAAATTTAAAAAAATAAAAATAAATTAAAAATTCATAAATAAATAAAAGAAAACAGGAAAAAAAAACTCTCAAAGGGCAGACTCAAGAGGCCAGTAAGTCTTTTTCTGCCGTCAGTTTTCTCCGTTTCTATTCATTTGTTCATTTGCCACCCATTCATCACGCAAGTCTCATGAGCCATGAGATTTCCTCTTCCTAAATTCCCTCCATTTTATTTATTTATTTGTTCCTATTTCTATACCGCCCTTCTCCAAATAGGACTCAGGGCGGTGAACAGCCAAAGTAAAAAAACAGAACATACAAAATTTAAAAGCAGTTTAAAATAATTAAATATTTTGGCCGTAAATTAAAACAACCCAATTTAAAATCAATTTTAAATTTAAAATTTAAAATTTTCATTTTTCTTTATACTGTCACTATCACAACCCTGTAAGGCAGATGAGATTAATCACACATTTGATTATGTGCAGAAGCAATGATTGCTTCAATTTATCTTGGGCCAGCTTTCTGTCTCTTTAGCAGAGAATCTCAGGCCTCTTAAATAAGCCATTAGATTTGTCTAAACATGGAAGCACCCAGTCCTCTTCACATGGAACAATTATTTCCACCCCATAGTAATTTGGATATAAACCATCCACATAGGTAGACTTCAACGTACAACCACAATTGAGCCCAGAATTTCCACTAAGCAAGGCAGTCATTAAATGAGTACAGCCCCATTTTACAACCTTTCTTGCCACAGTTGTTAAGTGAATCATTGGGGATTAAGCAAATCTAGTTTCCCTCACTGACTTTGCTTGTCAGAAGCCAGCTGGGAAGGTTAAAAATGGTGATCACAGTACTCCAGGACACTGCAACTGTCATAAATAGATGCCAGTTGGAAAGCATTCAAATTTTGATCACATGACCATGGGGATGCTGTAACAGTCGTAAGTATGAAAACTGATCGTAAGTCACTTTTTATCAGTGTCGTAACTTCAAATGGTCACTAAATGAATAGCTGTAAGTGGAGGACTACCTGTACGAAGTGAAAATGCGGGATATACACTTTTATATATCAGTTAACAAATTGCTTGCTTTTCCTTCTCACTCTTGGCTGCTGTTGACTCTCAAATACACTTAGGCTAAAATCCTCTGTATTTTTATTTCTTCTGTGAGGTTGAAACCCAATGAGGTTGATTAAATTAAGAGTTACTCTGGACACTCTCAGCGTACCTGGAGCTGGTGTGTGATGAAAAGAACTGTTTTGGACTTCAGGTGCTTCCGGATTGCACTGTTGAAGATGTGGTTTCCAACATGGGCATCCAAGGCACTCAAAGGATCATCGAGGATGAAAATGCTCTTGTGGCTGTACAGTGCGCGGGCAAGGCTGATCCGTTGGCGCTGCCCCCCACTCAAGTTTGCACCCCGGTCACCAATCTAAATAAAACATGCCTTGTTCAAATATTTGTTTGGCCATCGGTTAAGGCACAGTAGACCTTCTTCATTCCTTATTTATCAATTCTGTCCTTTGTCCAAAACTCAAAGCAGGATTCCAATAATTCAGCAGAATTCAAATAGCTGTAACTTACCGGAAACCATTTACTGAATTTGATAGCAAAGATTCAAAGCTAAAGCTCCTACAGAATCAAACTATCTAGCACTGTAACCTATTGTTTACTTAAGGAATGTGTGTTTAGGGAATTTTTGAGACAAATATATTTGAAAACAACAGAAACATAAAATATAATTGACAGAAACAGCAGATGCCTATTTAAAAAACAGCAACTATAATCACTGGATGGGCATCCAACTCATTTCAATGCAGTTACATAATTTTACAATTCAACTGAAATGAGAAGCAAGAAGTGCATCCAAGGCAACATTCAGTAGTATTTGACCAATTATTAGAAAGTCTCTTCAACTACCTTCTGACCCTAAGAAATTAGCAAATGAAATGGAAACCACCCTTCTAAAAAAGCAGAAAGGAATAAAATGAAGATTTCAAACACATTTAGGGCAGGAATGTTTTTTACTACCCAAAATCTCCAAAGATGGAGTTGGCCCTTGCTTCTTTGGGAGAAAATTGTACAATTTGGGTGCTGCCATTCAAAAAAGTGCTTTATAATATTTCCATCAATTGAATTCAACTTGAAACAACAAACAGAACCTGCTCTTTCCAGAAAATAATCTTTCCTTAGCAGTAAATACCTTACCAAACTCACCCCTCACTTAAGGTACCTACCTTTTTGTATCAAGAGAAACATAATTTATTTACGAATTTGGAAATCAGCCATCTCTCACACACAACAGTTGACAAAGCACTTAATTTTGAGATTCCTCTCCTCAAAGTGCAACAGGACATGCCCTAATTATTATTTTGTGAAATAACTCTAAGAGAAAGAGTGGCAAAACCTGGGGGTGGCGTTAAAAGAGGGATCAGTCTAGAATCCCTACATAGCCACAAACCAATTAGACCTGTTTACCTTGCCATGTCATTAATGGTTTCGTGTGTTAATGTGGGGCAGGAAAGACCAAATCCACACGTGAAGGTCCAATTAAATTAATGTATAGTTAGTCATGCCTGTGTGCTAAAATCTTCTCAACTAATGGTCACTACCTGCTTGGAGTCAAATAAGAGTCAAGGGAATTAACTTCCCTTGAATTCCCTTGACTCTTATTTGACTCCAAGCAGGTACTGACCATTAGTTGAGAAGATTTCAGCACACAGGCATGACTAGCGAGACGTTAATTTCATTGGACCTTCACGTGTGGACTTGGTCTTTCCTGCCCCACATTAACACATGAAACCATGAATGACATGGCAAGGTAAACAGGTCTCGTATTTTAGAGTCTGATTACATATTGAGTAGTTAAGATGTAATGAAGTTAACAAGCAAAGCTGTTTATCAACTCCTAAGCCTGTCAGACATTTTCCCTCTACAGAGGGGTCTCCTAGAATTGGGCAGCTGATGCATTCAAGCAAGGTTCTTACCTCAGTCAGATCCCCATTTGGCAGGATAGCCAGATCAGGTCGGAGACAGCAATCATTCAACACCATATTGTACCTAAATATATATATATATATATGTATATGTATAGATGGCTATACGTATTTTTAAAAAGCAGTGAACAGACCCCTTCCAAGTTAATTGGGACTAAGTCTGCCCCCATAGCATTTTCCCAGGGTCTGTTTAAAGAAAGACATATTTAGGAAATCTATCTCAGACACATGTCAGCCCGATTGGGACATTTAGAAATTTATCTGGTTTTGCCCCAGGTTGAATTGTGACTGTTAGGCCAATTAACTAATTGCTTTGAAATAGATACATGACTGGCGAGCACAACAATGGGCAACAAAGACAGTGATTGGCTCAAAACTGACTTGTAACATCAGTTGCATTTTCGATGATGTAATATCAGGCTGGCTCTTACATAATGCTGTATTATAATTTTGTATAACGTGCATTTCTCCTCCATCCACTTTAAGTGGCCGGAGAGGAAAATTCCTGCCAAGTTTCACTCTGACTTTTGTGTGGGGGTGTGTGTTAATGTCATCTCCTGCCGACTGCCTGGACAGCTCTCTGCAGTTTCTCTTGGCAAAACTTTTTCAAGAAGCTTGCCCTTACCTTCTTTCTAGGCTGAGGGAGAGGGACTGGCCAAGGTCACCCAAAAGAGGCCTGGAACTCAACAGTCTCATGGTTTCTAGCCAGTTGTCTTAACTATCGCACCAAACTCTTTCTCATTGGATTCTAATTTAATATTTACTCTTTTTATTTCTTAGGGGCTTATATTAAACATGGCAACAATTCTGCAAGGCAGGCTGGGCTGAGAGAGAATGACTGAGCCACAGTCAGGGGTTTCTGTGGTTCAGAGTCAGGGTGGATTTGATTTAAATCGAGCTGATTTAAATCACAATTTAAATCATGATTAAATCACTAGTAAAAAGGCTTGATTTAAATCAACTCGATTTAAATCATAATTTTTAAAGAGCAGCTGTCATCTCTGCTACTCCTTTGACCCACTGTTGACTCACCAATAGTCCCAGTGTTGCCGAATATACAGCCTCATGCTACATAACTCAGCTCCGTTTCATGCTGAATAAACTAAATTATTTATGTATCTTAAATAGAAAACTATCTTACGATAGATTTTTACCCCAAAAGTTTTTTATTAAAATAAATTCGATAAAAATAAAAAAAATCCGATTTAAATTAAAAAAATCCAATTTAAATTAAAAAAAATCTGATTTTTTTGATTTTTTTAAAAAAGTCATTGATTTTTATCCACCCTGTTCAGAGTCCACTTCACCCTCAATTTCCTTGCTCCCAATCCAATACCTCTACGCTACATTATTTCTCACTGATTTTTCAGTGATTCCTACCAAGTTCTTATCTGTGCCCAAAAAACAATGTTTGAAAAGCACTCTCCATTTTGTGAAGAGGTTCTGGCTTAGTAAGCAGCTGTAATTTGGCTAAAACCACAACTCCTGTGATGTAGTGAAATAATAAGCCAGGGGTTAGGGAAAACCGGGGTTTAAAGACTTTCTCCCAGTTGGGAAGAACGGAAGATATGTGGCTCCAGTGCTCAGTTCAAGCTCACCAGGTCTCACGTAAAGGTAAAGGATTCCCCTGCCAGTTGTGTCCAACTCTAAAGGGCAGTGCTCATCCCTGTTTCTTAGTCGAGGGAGCCAGTGTTGTCCGAAGACACTTCCGTGGTCATGTGGCCAGCATGATTATACACCAAGGTGCACGGAACATTGTTATCTTCCCACTGAAGTGGTACCTACTTATCTATTCGCATTTGCATGCTTTCAAATTGCTAGGTGGGCAGGAGCTGGGGCAAGGAACAGGAGCTCACCCCGTCCTGGAGGCTCGGGGCTCGAACCCAGGCTGTCAGCTTTCCGGCAGACAGGTTCAGCGTTTGTAACCACTGAGCTATCATACCCCTAAGTCTCATGTACTTAATACTAAATCATAGCTTTGTGTTACAAAAGGCCTGGACCAATGGTGAAATGTAAAATTTGTTACTACCGGTTCTGTGGGCGTGGCTTGGTGGGGGAGGGGGTAATGTGACTGGGTGGGTGTGGCCAACTTTTTTTTTTTTTACTTTTAAAAGCATTTTTACTACAACCTTAAGAGGTTGCAGGAAAAAGTGCTTTTAGAAGCCTCTGACGATCAGGCAACTCAGCTGGGATCGCCAGAGGCTTTTAAAGGCATTTTTTTTTTCCAGAACCTCTTGGGCCATAAAATGCTTTTAAAAGCCTCTGATGATCCCAGCTGCGCCACGCGATCATCAGAGGCTTTTTATTTTTTCACTTTTAAAAGCATTTTTTCGGCCGAAGAGGTTGTAGAAAAAATGCTTTTAAAAGTAAAAAAAAAAAAGTCTCTGATGATCGCGTGGCTCAGCTGGGCATGGGGGTGGGGCAGGGATTTTTACTACCGGTTCTCCGAACCACCCGCCGTCATCGCTACCGGATCGGGCGATCCAGTCCGAACCGGGAGCATTTCACCCCTGGCCTGGACCAATGTTTTATTTCAGTGCAACCAATGAAGATTACTTCCCACAGTAAGGGAAGTGCGGACAGGAAATCACAGGCTTGTTACCAGTTGTAAACTATCCAACCAGAACAGCTGCGAGGCCGGTTCAGGACTAGCCTCCACCCATCAGCCTTTCCCCACCTGTATCCCGAGAGAAACCCCAGCAGACTGACCTTTCTTCTTCAAGCTCCTTCCCAAAAAGGATGTTGTCTCTAAGCGTGGAATTTAGAATCCAGGCCTGTTGGGCCACATAAGCAAAGTTCCCATCCACAGCAATGCTGCCTTCCAATAATGTCATCTGAAACAACAGCAACAGGCCTGTCAAAGATACTGCCTTATCAATTGAGGATACGAGCAGTGGTGAAATCCAATTTTTTTTACTACTGGTTCTGTGGGCGTGGCTTGGTGGGGCTTGGTGGGCGTGGCAGGGGAAGGATACTGCAAAATCCCCATTCCCTCCCCACTCCTGGGGGAAGGATATTACAAAATCTCCATTCCCACCCCACTCTGGGGCCAGCCAGAGGTGATATTTGCCGGTTCTCCGAACTACTCAAAATTTCTGACAGGTTCTTCCAGAACCTGTCAGAACCTGCTGGATTTCACCCCTGGATACAAGCCTTATCATCAATAAAGGAGAATATTTGTAGCTCAGAGGGCTCCTTGGTGCTCTCTGAGCTAGGCTGTCTTCTTGTGGATGTTTCATTACCAAACTAATAA